GCTGGGATGGAGCGCTTGAGAGAGTCTGAGGCGTGATCATCTTTCTTTTATGTCCAGGAGACGCCTTCAAAGCCATACCCTCCCCATCTTTTTGAGCACTTCCTAGCTGCTCACTAAACAAAACTGCAAGACCCATCTCATCCAGAACACAAGGTTCACAAATAACTGGCTCTGTGCTGCTCTCAGTCATAATCTCCATCTTTTCAACCTCAGCAAACTCATCACCCTTGATGCTCAGTGACTTAGTGGCAATGGTTCCACAATATTTAGAGCTTGATGCCTTGAGAGGGTAAGAGACTTTGCTGTTGACATTGTGCAGGATCACTTTCTTTGTATGGAAATCAATGGAGGCACCAACAGTGGTGAGGAAAGGTGTCCCTAAGATCAATGGCACATCCTTCTCGTCAACCATATCCAGAACTGTTAGATCAATTGGGATTGTGCACTCTCCAATTCTCAAAGGGAAATCCATGACAATACCAAGTGGGGCTTTAGAAGAAGCATCCCCAAACATGATAGAAGACTTAGGTCGCTGGATCAGACTCTGTATACCCAATTTCTGTATTAGAACAAGAGAGATCAGATTGATACTTGCTCCAGAATCAACAAGTGCATCCTCAAGTTGTAGGTGACCAAGTGTACAAGGCAGAGTGAAGCTTCCCTGACCATTCAGCTTGGGTAGTGAGGTTGGTGTGGATAAGAGATCACCCTGGGAAGAAGAGGGCTCCAAAAGCTGAGCTACTTCGTCCTTGTTATCAAGTATGTCCTTAATCATCTTCTTTTGGACATGAGCAGCTTGAAAACTTCCCATATTTGGTAGCTCAACCCCAATCTTACTCATGTCATTCCTAAACTTGGTGATGACTTTTTTCTGATTCTTGGTAAGGATTCTACTTGGAAATGGAACAGGGGGCTTGTAGGTGTCATCATCAGATGGTGTTGGAGCATAAAGCATCTGACTCGATCGAGCTGGTGAGACGGTCTGGCTCGATCGAGCTGCCAATCGAGCTTGTTGTGCGAGCTCAACCGGTGAAGCGTGGATAGCTATCTGAGGAGCTTGCACTTCAGGTTGAGCGTACTGGACTCCAGGAGCATCAGCAACAACATTGTCTTCATTATTAAGCAGCATACAGATCTCCTCAATATCCTTCTCATTAGCAGCTTGTTGATCAAATCCTTCCTCTTGAGTGAAGATCGCTCTACAATGCTCCTTTGGATTCTGAACAGCCTTTCCAGGAAATTGACCTTGCTTAGCAGCAGAAGAAGAAGCATGGTGTTCCAAAGAGTGAACTCTAGTGTTCAAGGATTCAATCTTAGAGTTCATCTCAGCCAACTTCTTGCTTGTCTCCATAGCACCATCTGCTTGACCTTGTAAGAGCTGCTTCAACATGGCTTTTATTTCTTGTTCCTGACTTGGTGAAGCCTGAGGCGCTTGAGGTGCATACCCAGTTGGTACACTCTGCTGTTGTCCTTGATAATTTCCCTGATGGCCCTGGAAATTCCCTTTCTGACCATATCCTTGCTGTGGAGGCTGACTCGCTGGAGCCTGTTGCTGCGGAGGGTAGACTTGATCTTGAGGATTGGCAACATCAGTGTTACTGTAGGACATGGTAGGGTGTGACTTGTAGCCATAGTAACCGTTTTGATAACCTCCTTGTCCATTCTTAATGTAGCACACTTCAGCAAACTGATTCTCCTCCTCTTCTTGGCCTTGAACCATCTCTTCTTTAGAAACAAAGTTGGCCTTCTTCATTGTGGATTGAGCTAAGATAAGCGTATCCAACTTCTCATTGAGTGCCTTGACATCGTTTCTCAGCTTACTATCAGACTCGATCGAGTTGGAGGTCGAGCTCCTGTTTGTGCGATCATACTCCTCTCCATAGCTCCCACTTGAGTTAGCAATGTTCTCCACAAGCTGCCAGCCATCATCTACATCTTGATTGAGGAAGTTTCCATTACTGGCTGTGTCCAACATCTCTTTGTATCTTGGCAAAACTCCTCTGTAAAGTGTGGAAAGCAAAGACTCATTGCTGAAGCCATGATGAGGGCATTGACTGGTGTAACCCTTGAATCTCTCCCAAGCTTCAGCAAATGTCTCATTGTTCCTTTGAGTGAAACCAGATATCTCGCTTCTCAGCTTAGCAGTGCGACCAGTAGAGAAGAACTTGGCAAGAAATGCCTTCTTGCAATCCTCCCATGTAGTGATTGATCCATGGGGTAAACTCTTCTCCCATTGATGGGCCTTGTCACCAAGAGACATAGGGAAGAGTCTCAGCTTGATGGCATCTTCAGAGACACCATTCATCTTGGTCAGATCACACAGCCTATCAAACTCATCCAAGTGATCAATGGGATCTTCACAAGACAATCCATGGAACATCTTGTTCTGGACTAAGGTAATCATCCCCAGCTTGATCTCGAAATTGTGGTTCTGGACAGGAGGTGGGACAATCCCTCTTCTTTGCTGGTGGCGGTTTGGTGCATCTCCAAGCCCAATCGGTCGAGTCTGCCTAGCTCGACCATTTCCATTACCCAGAGGGTTTCCATTACCCTCTGGTATATCCATAGTATCTGTAACAAGCACCTCTGACTGAACTTGTTGCCTCTGGCTCTTCTTTCTCTGTTTTCTGCCTATGTTGATGTCTAACTCGACCAAGTTCTCTGTTGATGAGCTCGATCGAGTTCACATACACCTGCAAAACAGTCAAAAACCCAGCAGTACAAGCAACAAAGGTGGGATAGTACTTGATCGTTCAAGTGATTTGGAAACTCAAATGCAACAGTAACAAACCCAAATGGCAACGGCGCCAAATTGATGATAGGATTTTGTGTGATGTGATGTGAATGAAGGTGATATGAAATGAGATGTGGTGGAATGCAACAGTGGTAAATGATGAGATGGTATGGTGCAATCACAATCAATCAATTCCTCTTAACCATCATAGTCATTGAAGTATAAGAGGTTATCAATCCATAAGGGTGAGATGTTGCTCTATGAGAATATGCAAACACAAGAAAGTCAAGCCAAATGATTAAAAGGAGGGATGTAACAACTAAACAACCTAATATAACGGAAATGCAATGCAAAGTAAAAGAAAGCAGCTAAATGCAAGAAATTAACAAGAACAAGCAGATGCAATGGAGCTCGACCAAGAGCTCGATCGAGTTCGATGAGCTCGATCGAGTTGAGGGTCGAGTTGGTGTAAAAACAGAGGAAATGCAATGAAAAGCGATAAAGGTGCAAACTTTAAGATGCTAATGCGAAGATTAGGGTTAAAGACAGGGTTTTGCAGCTAAAGGGAGGCTATACTTAATCAGTCTTGCTCTTAAACAACTTGTATCAAGGTATCTCTTGATATTGAGCTTCTCAATGCCTAGCTAACCCTTTCCCAAGGTGAAAGCTATCAACCAAGACTTGATCTCAGAAACAGGGGGTTAGCCAGTGAGAATCAAGCCTTGGAGGCCATAGGATCATTGCTCAAACTAATCCATCCAACCCCTATGAACTCCATTTCGAGAGCAAGAGTTATTGGAGCTCTTAGTGGACCTTTTCCAACGATTTCCATCACTTCCATGTGGAGAATCGCCTATGGACATACAAGCCAGGGATAGTGGTCATGTAGCCTTAAGGTTTGTCCAAAAGAGAGAGATTTCTAGATTAAGAACATAAGCAAGAAGGATTAAGCATAAACAACCTCTAACCTATCCCATCTTAAGCCCTAAAGGGAACTACTCACTACACATGATGAAATAAACAACCAAATGCAATGAATGAGACATCAAAAGATAGAGGAGATAAAGATAAACAACTTTTATTGAAATAGAAAGTGCAGAAATACAATAAAAAGCCTAGATCTAGGGTTCTATGAGCAAGAGCTCAAGAACACAAAGAGAGGCTAAAAAGTAAAAAGGGAAATGCAAATACAAGATTAATTAAAAGTTGAGCAAAAGCTATGTTTAATTCGTGGCTCAATGCCATTTATAGTAAAGCAAACTAGGTTTAGGGTCAAAGGGGAGTCAAAGGGAAGCAACATTTTTCGGGTTTGACTTTGACTCCTGGAAAAGCAGCTCGATCGAGTTGGAAACTGGCCGGTCGAGCTGGTGGGTCGAGTCCAACCAATATCGTCGTATCTTCTGAACCGCTGGTCCGAATGACATGAAACCACCTCCAGACGAAAGCTAACTCAATTATCCACAACTTCCAAGAAGAAGTCAGAGGCTGAATCGTAGTGGAAACCCTTCATTTGATACGATACTTCGGACGCATCTCACTAGCTCGACCGAGTGCGGGTCCGTACATGGGGCAGACAGAGTCTTTCCTTCCTCAACTAGTCTCCAGTGATAGGCAATGTTCCAATTGGCTCCAAATGACCTGATTAAGACATCAAACGTGCACATGTATGCAAATGCAAGCCTAAAACTACTATGTATGCAAAAGAAGGGAAAACATCAAGAAATGATGCTTTGGGTGAATGAAACTATGCAAAAGATGCATAAAAGAAGGGCTAAAACCATGTAAAATGCAAGTACATCACAAATCCAAGTACCACCACTACTCTCATCAGCTGGAGGAGAGCGTGATGAAGAAGAATGGGGAGGCATACCACCCCATCCTGAAGTTCTGAATGAAGAGCTAATCAAGCATGTGGAGAGGAATCCTTTCTACAATTCTATTCAGAATGTGCAAAGGAGCATCTATGCAACTTTGAGCAGCTTTGCCATGACTATGGACTTGGAGATAACCCCAAGAAGATACAACTTTTCCAACTATCTCTAGCTGGACAAGCCAAAGACTGGGCTAAGTTCAATGCCCAACATGCTTTCAAGACTTGGAATGGATACAAAGGAGCTTTCCTCCACAGATTTGCAAAGGTCCTATTTATGTCCCACCACCACGCCCAAGCTATTCACAATACCATCCATCATCACCAGACATAAACAAGACACCACTTTTCCCAAGGGAGAGCTACCAAGCTGCGCGCCAAACCAAGATTGAAGAGATGCTTCAAGAGTACTTGAGAAATCAAGATGAGAGTACAAAGAAGATGGAGAGAAGAATCGATTTCATCCATGAGAGCCTTGGAAACAAATCTGAAGTCCTATTCAAGCAAGTGATCAAGCTTGATGAAGACATTAAGAAGTTAAGAGAGGATCATGATCGATCTTTGACCCTAGTTAAGCTTGATGTTGCTTCCAAATATCAAGAGTTGCTGAACAAGAGCATGAGAATTGAAGATACTAGCTATGGCAATAGCAAACATCTTGGTTCGATCTACAACCGCCTACAAGCCCTTGAAGGATCATCTCATGCCAATTACAAGAGAGAGAGGAGTCCAACACCCAACCACCCTCCCTTTTATTGCAATGCCATCACAAGAAGAAGCACTACTCAAGTCCATGAGGACAATGAAGAAGAAGAAAGAGAGTATGAGGAACAATTGAATGATGAAGATGAAGAGCAGAGCATCGACATCAATGCTTCCCCAAAACAGAGCATGGATACACCAAGCCCTAGAGACCCTCGTTTCTCACCAAGAAGTCAAGCTTCTACACTTCCAAGACTGGAAGCAATGCAAAGACCATCACCACCTACTGAAGAAGAAGATACTTGGCAATATGATCCCATTGATCCCAACAAGATAAGCCCCATGAAGCTTAAAGAGTTCAATGCTAAGGTGAAATCACTTCCATTCTATGTCACTTTTGAAGAAGCTTGGGATAAACATGGTCTAGTGGAGTTCTTTTTCACAAACTATGGAAACTGCCAAGAGGCAAAAAGCTGAATCCAAGAAATGCTTTTGCAATTCCCCAATAGTGTGGAGAGGAGAATTGAAGATCAAACACCTCGATGGATGCTTTCAAAACCCACATATGATTGCATAATCTGGCCTGAGCCAACATATCCAGAGAAGGAATCCAACAGAGCTAGGAAGAGAAGACTCATCCCAAAGATCATCTCAAAGGCGGACAACTCCGGGAAGTTTGTTGTCCCATGTGTTATCAATGACATTGTTCTTGAAGACTCTCTTTGTGATACATGAGCCAATGTCAACATCATGTCAAAGAAGATCACAGACAAGATCGGCCTCACCAACATCCAGCCCTCATCCATCTCCAACAACTATGTTGATTCTTTCTCACGAATCCCTTATCGTTTCATTCCAGATGTGATGGTGCAAATTGGAAACTTTTCTATACCAACCGAGATGAAAGAAAGTAGTCATAGGTGGACTGTCCCTAAAGATGGAGTTCTGGTGAGTGCTTGGTTAAACACCAACAAGGATGCCGTTGTTGGGAATGAACAAAAAGCTGGTGCTTTCTGGAAATGGGTAGCAGCATATTATGCTGCAAGTCCTACTATGAAGGACCTTTCTCCGCGTGAGTGGAATACATGTAAGCAGAGGTGGGGGATAATCAATGAAGCCGTCAAGAGGTTCTTTGGATTCTACGAGCAGGCTGGACGTCAAAACACTATCGGCCAGTCAAAGGATGATATCTTCGAGATGGCCTACAACTTCTATTTCCGGGATCAGAGGAGTAACTTCACCTACGAGCATGTGTGGGGAATGTTAAGAAATTATCAGAATTAAGTGATGTACTCTGACTAGAGAGAAAGGAAAATCACAATACAAAAGAACAAAGCCAGAAGCTTCTGAAGCAGGCAGTCCAATGGAGGACCAAGCGGAAGAGAGGCCAATAGGTGTGAAGGCAGCAAAGTTGAAAGGAAATAAGAGTGTTAAGAAAACCAATGAAGAGAGACCACAAGGAAGTCGCCCCAAGTCCAAAATGCCCTCCAGCCCACTGCGGCCTGCCACCACAAATGAGCATCGCCACTCAAATAGTGGACCGCTAACTCCACCCACTACTCCATAGGACAACAGATCGACTGAAACTTCCGCTCCACTCTTTGACGCCACGCGTCTGCCTCCTCCGGACCAACTCTGCCCTCGAAGAAAGGCGTACCAATTCTCTGCATGTGGCCCATAAACTCCAAATAACGGGACACACCCGCACCCACAGCCTCCGGCTGCACAACATCTGCAGCAACATGCTGCATCCCCGCCACTGGCGGTACTCCTGGAGCCCCCGGCGGAAAACGAGCCAATAAATGCGTCAGCAACTCCACCACTAAGTCATCACGACCCGGAGCCGGAGCGCCACCCCCACCCGGAGCAGCTCCCAAACCAACACTCACACTGGCATCACCCGCCAATGGAACTGACTGGGTCACCGACGCAGTCGTCACACTCTGCGCAACACACTCTCCCGACCAGAGCCGGCCTTGGGAGCAAGCAGCTGCTTGTGGCCCTATATAGTATAAATAAATTTTCGGCCCTCAAATAGTAAAAAGTTCTTTAGCTGAGTTGGTTATCGGTATAGTGGAGGAAGGAATAGGTTGCCTGTTCGAGTTAGTGCTTCAACTTTTCTTATTTTATTTTCAAAACCTTCTTTTTTTACAGGCCCAAAAGTTTTTTTGGATTGTGGCCCACCACTTTTCAGGGACGACTCTGCTCCCAATTCCTCCGGAAGTCCACGACCTCGACCTCGGCCTGCTCGGCCTCCAGCTCTGCCGCCACGACCTCTAGCACCGCGCCCTCTCGCGCTACGACCTCTAGGAGCTCCGTCCATCTCACTCACTACAGGAAAATGAGTTTTCTTAACACCCGAAAAACGCTATCTAAAGATATGATAGCGTTTTAATAAACGCTCTATCATCGCCCGCGATAATAGATTCCTTACTTTAGATAGCGATTTTTGAGATAGCTATATTATCTTTACTTTATATATAGCGTTTTTGTTATACAATTGTATATTCTACAATGGCATTCTATAATAGCAATTAAATTTTGTTATTAATTATTTTATTTATAAATATAATATTATTTTTCTCTTAATATTAATATATATAATTAATTGTTTATCAATTTCTTTTTAATTAAATATAATTACGATATTTGATTTTATAAACATCAACAAATAGAAAGTAACAAACTCAGTATTTAAAAAAGTAAACTTAAGTTTTCATTTAATTACATTACCAAAAAATAGAAATTAATATAATTACATATTCTACAATTCTAATCAAGCTTTGCAACAAGAAGTCTTTCCATCTTCTTCACAGCAATATCCAATCAAATTGACGAGTCTCCTGTGCTTTAATCAAACTGGGAATTAGCATAAATCACAAGCAACAAAGAAATCTCCTTCCACAGTTTTTCCAACATTGACACTTCATAGCTGGCGAATCTGCTCACTAGCGTTGCTCATCAGCTTCACCTACAATTTTGTAGGAATTAAAAGAGCTAAATTCATGAAACCAATACTCAAAAGAATGTGAAGACAAAGAGATCAAAGCAAAAACTTACGGTTGTTTCCTTCAACTAACAAAATTGTGAACCAACTATTTATTATATGGATCTGTCTATCCTCAACTAATTTGCTCCTGAAGCTAAAACCGAATTCTCATAGTCTGGAATATCTAATCTGCAATAAAAATCGACCCAAATTATCATCAAATCGTTTTTAAAACGCCAAATATTTCGAAACTTTCATCAAGGGAAACGGACTATAGAACCCTAAATTTAATTCAAGTTCGTACCTTCTGCGATGACCTGAGGCAGAAGAATTTAACCTTCGACAGGACTCAATACGTTATGGGTGCGTTCGGGTCGGATTGGAAAGCTAATTTGGAGAATTGGGAGAGAGACGAAGGTTCGGGAGGTGGAACTTCCAGCAGATCCGCCAGAGAAGATGGAAGTTGTTGTTAGATCGAGACGAAGATTGAAGTGGAAGGATTCAGATCTGAGAAGGAGAGAGGTAGAAAAGGAGACTTTTGTTTTCGAGATGGAGAAGAGGAAGAGAAAGAAAAGAGGAATAGAAAAAAAATTGTAGAGTGAGGATTTTGTCACGTCATCCATCTATGTAATATTTTTTGATTGGCTGTTGTGACTTGTGAGAAGGAGAATAAGAAAAAAGAAATTACTTTTTCTTTTTATGACATTAATTATTAATCGCAATATGATAGCGTTTCAATATGTTATATGCTATTAAAGACAATGATAAAACAAAAGAAACAAGCGGGAGTGAAAAAAAATATCGCGCCTATCATATCATAGCGTTTACTAATTCAGAAACGCTATAAAAAAATTAGCCATAAGTCAACCATAGCAGAAACAATCAAAACGCTATCTTTTAGTGCTATTAATACCCACATTTCTTGTAGTGACTGCATGAACCTGAACATGAGCAACTAGACAATAAACACAAAAACACAAACACCAAAAAAACTCACCGCGAAATTTCCTATAGCTGAAGAGGATGATACTAAAGCCTAACAATTCTAACAGTCCTAACACCGTCTAGGCTCTGATACCAAAATGAAACAACCAACATTTTTTTTTTAATAATTAAATATTAAACAATTATAGCGAGGGTCTTTAAAGTAAATCAAATAAATAATTCAAATAACAATATCAAATCAGTTCAGCGGAAGCAAATAAATAATTAAATAAGTCTAACAAGACAATGCAAATAAATAAATCCTATCATCCCTTCTTCATATTTGATTCCGCGATCACAAAAACCTTTTACCTGCAAAACATCGGAATAGAGTTGCATAAGTATTTAATAAATACTTAGTGAGGCAATCACTCTGCCTAGAGGCCATTTACGCAATTACTAGATATTTAATAATATTTATAAGCTCCGATAATTATTAAATACCAATTTCCGAATTATTAAATAATTCTTAATAAGTAAATAATAATTTTCCATAATTAAAAATAATTAATATAATTATTTTAAACCATTTAATTAATTAAGATCCGAATTTATCAATAACTAGATTAAACCATTTAACCAATTAAATCAATTCAATTAAACCAGACCAAATTGATTTAAACCGGAATTAACCGGTATGTGTCGACCGACACACGCTTGTGTCCTCGACACAAACCTTCTGGTGTCGACCGACACAAGATTTGTGTCGCTCGACACACGCTTTGTGTCCTCGACACAAACCTTCTGGTGTCGACCGACACAAGATTTGTGTCGCTCGACACCGATTTCTGAAACACAGAGATTGATCTATGAGCAGTATCCGAATTAGAGAATAACACAGGAATCAAGAATTCAACCATAAACACTCAATCAAACATCAACTATGATCACGAAATCACCACAGAAACACATACAGATCCTGAATCTAGCAATCACGGACCCACAGTCATGCACTCACCTTGGAATTTCGGATTAAAAAGGGGAAAACGAATTGAAGAAGATGAACTGACAAAGAACACGACGAACCACCGCGCAGCAGCTACCACACGCGAGCCCAATCTCCGAATCAACGACAAAAAGCCTCAATCGATCCCTCAAACGCCGGAAATCGCCTTAAGATCTCTTCTCTTCTCCACTTTCGTCCGCTAAACGACAAAAAGGAGAAGCCAGGCGGCTGCACAGGTTCTTAAACGTGAAACGAGGGTTTTCCAACCCAAACCACTAAACCGGTCACTTAAATCAAACCGGTTTGATTTCAAAATCGATGTGTCGACCGACACACTTCCTCTGTGTCGCTCGACACAGCTTCCTGAAGCTGATAAATCGGTTTGCGGATGTTACACACTGTCAGAATTTATCCAATGAATTACCATACTTTTAACATAGAGAAGATAGGTCTATCCGTGTTACAGAAGTGTACGTCTGCCAATCGTATGATGGCATATGGTAATGCAGCTGATGCGATAGATGAATACCTTCGATTTGGTGAACCACTGCGCTCAAATGCTTGCATAATTTTGTGAATGGAATCATATACTTTATACCATAATGAGTACTTAAGAAGGCCTACACCAGAAGATCTCCAACGACTACTCAATGTTGGAGAGTCTCGTGGACTTCTCGGGTCGATAAGAAGCATTGATTGTATTATGCATTGGGAGTGGAAGAATTGTCCTACAGTTTGGAAAGGAAAATATTCATGTGGCCATCAAAATCCGACAATCGTTTTAGAGGTCTTGGCTTCGTATGATCTCTGGATTTGGCATGCATTTTTAGGACCTCCAAGTACTTTAAACGATATCAATGTTCTCCACTGCTCACCTGTGTTTGATGATATATTAGAAGGCTGAGCTCCAAATGTGATGTACTTTTTCAAACATGTGCGTTTTTTCTCGTCTTTTAATTCCTGCAATTTTATGTAATTTACCTTATTTATTAATAACTAGGTTAAGGCCCGCGTATACGCGGGTATATTTTAAAATTTTATAATAAAAGCATGGAAAATATTAAACAAAATTTGATCATTTTTAAACATAAACAAAATAATATTGAAACCCCGATAAAAAATATTTAAATAAAATAAGATTGATAATAATTTTACATTTTTATTGTAATTAATTTATTGTAATTTATGATATGAAAAAATGAATTAATTTGTTTTACTATTATTTTTATCCAATACAGAAAGACATACACATGTCTAAATCTGATCAATTGATTAATTAATCAAACTTTTATTATTCCATTCAAGAGATTTTAATTGATGAAATATTTATTTCAATTTTTTTTACCTAACAAAAATTGAAAATCA